CAATATGCGTTTTTGCTGCCTGTTGCAGCGCTCTAGCGCTGCACGGCAAAAACGCATAAAAACTTCCGGGCGTTACTTGGACTGGATCCAACGATGGCCCACCAACGCAGGAAACTGAAAATCCAAGTATCAACCCTTCACCCGTCTAAGTAATCCTCACTGATCCGAGTAAAAAGATAGAAGTTTTCCAGGTAAACAAGATTGAGTGTTATTTGCTCTAGAGGACCCAAATACTGCACGACTGTGAATGCAGCACTTGGACAATTGAGCGAAATTATTTGGAATTTGGGAAGTCGCGGCTCGGTATTAAAGTAAACAACCCGAACCCGTCCAAGTAATTTCACCTCTATGTTCGGGTAATCTGCGGCAAGAAAGGGAAGTGGAGTTTAGGTGCGGGACAAGCCACTGCATGGCCTTCCGTCCCTCCCCTCACTTCCTTCGATAGTACATCCCTGTGTTATTATTGATTATGCTGACAATCACTGCACATTCCCAGTCGAGTTTCCATCACTAGCTCGTGTCTTGTTTCATCTCATCCTGGCACCTTAGTCTCCCATCCTGTCCCAGATGATCCGGGGATTTCCAGGCCCACTTGAGCTGAGTGTGCTTCGCTGCTTGCTCTTGGAAACTCAAGTCGTTGCTTTGGGGATAAGTCAGTAGAAAACGCACCCCCGCTGCAGTTCATGACGATACTGCACAGATTTGCACGGTGACGACCTTCAGCTTGTTGCTGGAATTACTAAACCTACCAGTGGCTACTGTGAGCACAACACTGTCATCCTCGCAGATACCTCTGCTCCCTCACCATGTGTAATCATACACCACCTTCGTTCCGGTCTGCACATCACCTGCTGGCCACGGCGATCTCGCCGAATCAGCTTGCGTCCTCTTTCGCTCATTCCCGGCAAATACTGAAGCTCGGCTCGGCTGATTTGGAGACAAGTTGCAGCAACCGGGTATGGCGATGTAGAGGGGCGGACGGGTGGGGGAGGGAGGAGGGAAGGATGACGGGGCGAGGGCCGCGGTGATACAAACAGCTTACTGCACTGGGGCAGAATTCATGTAAATTCTGACCACGTGCTATACGCGGGCCGTGGAGAAGGCGATGAAGACCAATGAAAAAGCATTTGCGGATCCAACTCTACCAGCCTCATTCAAACACGCAATACGCGATTGGCAGAACGCCGTGATTGTAAATTTGGGATTGCTGGGAATGATGGCATATCGGAATTGGTTGGAGCATCATCATTCCAGTAGCGTGCGTCAGAAGAGCATCATGGCAAGTTTTCGTGAAGTATCTTCGACGTAACTTGTTTCGAATCATTCATAAAAATTACTTGTGGCGTTTCCAGGACAACATTGGGTTTGATTCAACCCTGCTTCCGGACAGTACCGAAACTGCGTTGTTTGGAAAAAAAATTTTCGCTGGCAGAGTTACTGATTGATTATAGCAACCAAAGGCAAAAAGTGCGCGGCGTCAAAAAATCGAAGCTGTTGCGACCTTTTTGATGTTCGCTTTTCAAAGGTTTTATTGTTTAAAATATCAAATATGCGCATCTGTGCTTTTAGGGAAAATATGATTCAATGTGCATTTCCAGAAGCTAGTTACTGCACTTTTTATGTTGTAGATTCTGCCGCCAAACGAAGCGAGAAAATACACCGCTTCGCTGTACTTGAAAAAGACCAAATTCCACGCGCTAACAACGCACTTCTAGGGCTCGGTTTTCGGTTTGTCCTTCTTTATCATTGTGTTTTTCATCAGCCTCACAACAGACTTCTTTTCATTGCATTCTGCTCTGCGAACCGGTTTCGGATTACCGAATGACATACGCATCTCCAC